CAAAAAGAAAATTACAACTTTCACTTCAAACATGTCAATAAAATTAACTACTCGTCTTTATTTTGGCGACCATTTAATACGGATAGTTATATCAACTAACAATTTAATGATTCACATTTCTTTTTATGTGTCAAATTAAATAAAACTACATCTCAAATCTTGTGGCGTTAGATGAATTGATTTAATTTTTACATCATGTTGATAAATAGAATAATGTTAAGTAGTAATGTAGATCCGATACCTCAGTGTAACAAACATACGTTGACAACAATATAACTAGTATTTTGTTATTGGAAATGTAAGAAAAAAATATTGCTTTCATTTGAAGCTAGTATTTGTCATTTCTATATTCTTGTTGTTTCTTAACTTTATATAGTAATATCTTTACTTTCCTTCAAAGGGAGAATCATATTCTCTTGGTGGTGTATCTCATTTTCTAATAATAATGACAAGTGTTTAAGGGATTTAAATATATCAATGTCGATTTAGGTTCTATGAGAAATAGGTTTATTGAGTGAAATTGAAAATTAATTTTTGTTTTCAATGAATTTAATCTAATGATTAGGTGTTGCCCTCCCTTTTTGAGATAGAGGGTTCAAGTTCCGTCGTGGACATATGTAGATTTAAGGTTTAGTTTACGAGTATGTTAGATTTGTTGTATAAATAAAAAAAAGACTAATATTAAATATGGGTTTCTTAATTAGAAGGTTTTTAGTCATGTAATTAATATCTATATCAATTTAAACTGTACAATTAAGAAAAATTGAGTTTCTTAATATTAAGTTGTAATCTTTATTTGCGATTTTATCAAAGAAAAATTATTTCTTTTCCTTGGTCTTCTTAATCATTTTGTACACATCATCATATTGTGTTCATATGGTCAATGTTACAAAATATTGAATTTATCTTTCACTTGTGTTCTTTCTAAATATGTATTCATCTTTTTCACCAATCATATATCGTTAGAAATCTCCATGAATGTAGTCTCCAATGAAAGAAATGATGAGTCCTTTTGAGATTTTTGAAGATGTTATGATCATTTTCTATAGGTTGTTCGATGGACATATTACGGTTTGTCCAATTTCAATAAGAGAATTAGAGTGATCCAGATGACAAAAAATTATGTATTATATGTTTTCGGAAAGCTCTAAACGTATAGATTCAAATGCAAAAAGACGTTGAGTCTTTTGAATTTTCTAGAAGAAGTTTAGACCTATTTTCTATAAGATGTTTAGTAGATAGATTTATTTAAAGATGAATACTAAAGACTTCGAATATGAACTTCATCCATTTAAATGAAGAATATTGAAACTTGAAGATGAATGTTTCAATTGATTTTTTCTTCATAAACGTGCCAAAACTTTGAACTTTGAATAGTGAAGATGAACTTCATCCATTTGAAGATGAAGTTCATTTGAGTTTTTTACAAAGACGAAAATCTGAAAGATTTGAATATGTGTTTATTGCTTTAATGTTTTTTTAGGGATTGAATGTTCTTTGTTTGATGTTTTTAAAAATATAATGGATTTAAATCTTTGAATCAGAGGCTTGTTCTTCTTAATTTGAATGTTAGAATTGATGTTTATTCTTGAAAGCTTGAATATTACTTGTTTGGTAAATTTGAATGTTTAAATTGATTTGTTCTTTATAAAACTCAAACTTTGAAGGCTGAAGTATGCACTTCAGTTCTTGTATTGTTTTTAATTTGATTTTAAAATACAATAAATGTTTGTTTTTTTAAATAATAAATAATTATTTATTGGAATCCTTCTTAATAAATCATCACATCATGGAGGTACACAAATATTTTTCAACCTACAAAATAGATACGCAAAACAATTTGATGAGGTACATAATAATGAAAGAATCCTAAAAATCTATCATTTCGTATTTATTGCTTTTAGCTTAACAATTACTTCCTCTATCATATATAATTTAGTTTTTTAGGATTACTTATATTTAGAATTATAACCCTTAAATTTCATCATCCAAATAAATTAGTTCTTATCTTCACAAAATGAAGATATTTATAAATTGGACCTAACACTGTTAGTGTCTAAAAACTAGATCTTTAGTAAGATAGAAATATATAATTATTAGAATTTGTAACTATGTAGAAACTTTTCATACTTTCGCTAAAATTATAGTGAGTATTATGCGTGGTGCATAATTTATTGTCAGTAGTATAGTTCTGTTCAACATTAGTTATACTTAAGGTTCTAAAAAGCTCGCCATGGTGCACCACAACTCTAAGGCTTGTACCTGCCGCCAAGTTTTATCAAAACGCCACCTTAAATCATATATGTGTATAAAAATGAATAATAGTTGAAAATAAATATAAAATATTAATGATATAGAAAATTGTCACTTTAAGTCACGTCTTACAAACACCATGATTCGCTAAGGCTCGGAAAAGCTTGAGGCTTAACATTGTCGCCAAATCACGCCTTAAATTATTTAGAACATTGATTATACTCCACAACGTCTTTAGATTACATCTACTTCATTACATCCTTACTCATTGTAAGAAATACCATCACTTCACATTATTATTTTTATATAAATAGAATAAATAAACGTGTGTATTTGAGAGAGAGAGAGAGAGAGAGAGAGAGAGAGAAATTGTAAAACTCATTACTTCACACCACAACCACGTTTTCAGGCTACATTGTGTGGTGATGTTATTGTCGTCACGACATGGAACCAATTGTCGACGGAAAACACCACCCAGTGCCGGCCCAAGCCCAGGGCGAGAAGGGCCATGGCCCAGGGCAGCAATTTCTAATGGGGCATCAATTTTTCATAGCCTCTTATAGGTATGATGTATTATGGTATATTTGGGCCTGTTAGGCTGTTAAGAAGACTGAAGACTAGTCCAGTAAACCATCACGTTCAAGACTTGGGGCATCAAATTTTTGGAGACCTAATAGCAGCAACTACAACGGTACAACAATTACAACTCTTCGAGCTAAACTTCTAATAATTGAAGATGAAGAACACGAGGCGTCCCTAGCGTCCCTGCTGGAGAATGGAGATGGACAATTAAGATTTAGTCTGCATCAATTCAATCGCCTATTGCCCTATTATCTCTTCCAGTCTTCCGATTCATTGCTTTAACACTCAACAGTTCAACACTTCTCTTGCCTTCTCTCTCTCTCTCTCTCTCTCTCTCTCTCTCTCTCTCTCTCGATAAATCGACTTCTCCAGTTCTCATATATTCTTCTTTCTTTCTTTCTTGAATCGTCCTCTATTGAATGTCTGAATCGTCCCTACTAGTTTATCTATTGCTCTAATTCTATTGTGCTAAAGACTTAAAGTGAAGATTCAAAGATGGATACAGTGATTGAATGAATTCTTCTCCTCTTAAGGTCCTAATCCGGTAAGTTTTTTCTAGTATTTCACATTTCTTGCATAACCTACTTGAATACTTTATGTTTCGAAAATTTGATAGTCAGTATTGGTTAAATTTTTTGAAATTTCAGTTTTTTATTAAGGTTCCTGGAGTCTGGAGAAGTGAAGTTTTCGATCCAACTCATCCAAAATTGCAAACTTGCAGTGTTGTTCATCCTGGATTACACTAAGCTTCATTAATTTTCCAGGTAATTTCTTTCTTCTCTTGTGATTTATGATCAAATTAAGTTGTTGATTTTGATTTTTTTTTTATAATAATATAAGTTTTATCTATTGTTGAATGTGATATTTTTAGTTAATTTTTGAATTAAGTTATCACAATTGCTAGAAATTTGATGTAGTGATATGTATGAACATGATTTTGATTTTTCTTAGATGTGAATTCAGAATTCTGAATAATTGGATTTATATAATCTGTTGATTTCTGAATTTTTGAAAATCTGTTTGTTTTCTGAAATCTGAATAATCTTATTGTGTTTTTTATTTCTGAATAATATCTTAATTTAATTTCTGAAACATTGTGAATTTGTGATATATATGAATCTGATTTTGATTTTTTTGAGAAGTGAATTCAGAATTCAAAATAATTTGATTTATATAATCTGTTGAGTTTTTTAAATTCTGATTTTTGAAAATGTGATGGTTTTCTGAAATCTGAATAATCTGATTGTGTTTTTGATTTCTGAATAATATCTTAATTTAATTTCTGAAAATCTAAAAGATACTTTTTTTGTTTAGGTTGTGGATATGGATTGTTAACTTCAGGCTTTTGATACGAAGTCTTGATTATGATAAAATAATAGATGTTTTTGCTTCAAAAAATGCAAGGAGACATCGTTTTAGATGAATTTTATGTATGATTTTGTTTGTATAACCTTGTTTTGGTTTGACTGTAAAATTTATTTCATTTTTGCTATTTTTTTAAATAAATAAAAGCATTAGTTTAGAATCTCGCCCCGGATATTAAAAATCAAGTCCAAGCCTGACACCACCCCTTAATTCTTTTTGTTGTTGCTGACAAACTTGAGCTGCACACTATTTCCATTCAATATTGTCGCTGGAAGAGACATGGAGTATATGAAGCTGCATCATAAGCTTGTACCTTTGTGTATTAGGACAATACATAAGAATGGTAGTGGATGATTATGGTTTGGAAACAATTTGGTAGACAATGATTACATCACACCCGACTCATAAACCAATATTGACAGAAATGTGAAATATTTATACGACGGCTATATGACACCAAATTTTAATAATTAAAAACATCACCACACTCCTTAACATATTCACGTTTGGAATAAAGTTTATTACTGCCACATATAAGGTTCTTCCTTCTCATACATATCCTATGCTTTATAAACATTATATGACATTTGAAAAATTAACTTGTAGATTAAATCAATACGATTACTATGTTTGTAATAATCACAAATGGACAAATACGTAATTTTAGCATCACATTTTAAGATAAAATGAATTAAATTAGAACTAAAGTATACTTTTATGATATGGCAGTTTTGCTTTTAAAAGTCCAAAAGTGTCAACATCATGTATCTTAGTTTAAGCTCAAAACCCAAAAAGTACAGTGTCAAGTTAAAAATGACTTTTTATAAACCATACACAAAAATTAAATTAAATAAAACAAAGCAAGAAACTTATTATAAACAACAAAATAAAACCTACCCATAGTCTATTTTGATTTTCTTTTTCTTTCTGCACAAGTCTAATCTCTTTCCTTTTTTGATAAAAAGGCAGAACTCAACCTACAATTCTTGCTAATTATAGTAAAGCCAACAAAATTAAACGAGGCTCGAACCCACAACCCTATCTACGAGGGTAAAAACGTCAAAAAGAAAATGAACCCATGATCCCTACCCAACAAGAATAGGCTCGAGCCCATGGTGTTCGAACCCCTAACTATGAGTGCACAAGTCTAAAAGCTTCTTTCTAGCTTCAACAATCTCATCAAAGAAGTCATCAAGTTGGACACTCATATTTTCAACTCCACATTGCAACCCTACAGAACAGCTTTTTAACTTTTCAACCCTTTCACTTACGTCTAATTCCATTCCAGTCCCTCTAATTCTTTCAAGCTCTGTTTTTAGTTCATCGATGGCGCTTCTTGCATTCCAAAACTCATAAAGCAAGACACCATTTTGACCCTCTTCATTTTCCTTCACTTTCTCATGTAATCTAGTGGCGGAAACCATGAAACCCGACCCGTAAACTCCCTTTCCTTCGGTGTAATTCATAGTGGTATTGCCACCATGGCAGGATGAAGAAAAGCTTGTTACAGGTGAGCAGTAAACGAGACCACTTAATAAGATCATCAAAAGTAAGGAATTTGTGTTTCGTAATGCGAAAAGAACTCCTCTGAATCCATTAAACCCATTGAATTTTGATTCGATCAACACGTTTTTATCGAATTTTATCATCAATGGTTGAATTCTGTTTCGGATCAAGCCTCTGTTTTCTTCCTCCAATCCGACTCTCTCCCTCTGACACCCATTGATCGCTCTAAGAACCTGTAAAAATGTAATTTTTCAATCAGATTTTGATCATTTTTTTTTTGTGAAAACTCAATAAACTCAAATTCAAGAGAAATCGCAAATGGGTATGTTTTCATTTGGGACGAAATTACCTGGCGGGAATTTTGTGGGTTTAAAAAACGGTGGTTTTCGAGGGTGGTGGCGATGGTGACGGCGGCGGAGTAGTAGTTTTCCATGTTGGTGATGCCGGACTTTAGAACGTGGCAGACTTCCCAGAGACGGGCGCTTTCATCCATGTATTCATCTAGCCACTTTTCTCCGACCGGCAAGTGGAGCTTTTGGACGACGGCGATGAGATGTGAATGGAAAGATTGGAGGGATGAGAGGACATGTTGGAGAAAATGGATAGACATGAAGTTGTGGGAGTGAAAAGAGCGAAATAGATCGTCGAGGCCTTGAGTAAGGAAGTTGTAGAAGCCATTGACGGAGGTTGTGGCGGCGGCGGTGGAGGAGGAACGGTGCATTGGGGAGGAGGAGGAGGTGGTGGTGTTGGTTTGGTGTTAAAGTGGGAAAAAAGGTGATGGAGATTGTTGTGGTATTTAAATGGGTAGGGGAACCATAAAAAGTGATAAAAACTTGGGGCTATTGATAAGCTTTTTTACGGGTGTTGGAATGATAAATTTAATATTAATTAAGTATTTAAAATATTTTATAAATAAATAAATAAATAAAAGGGTCAAATATACGTAATAAGAACTTATTTTATATTAATTTTGACTTTAAAATGTTTTTTTTTGGTCCATTTTAGGTAAGAAAATATAGTAACATTTAAAATTTAGCTAGTATTGTTTTTTAGATTTGTTAATATTAATATTATTAAAAATAAATACATTTAAATATATTTTAAATACATATGTATATATAATAAAATTATATTTATACAACAGAAATTCATATAAATAAAATAAATACATATAAAAAACAAATTTATATATTTTTATACTTTAAAAAATATATTTAAAAGTTTTTTCATTTAATTATATTTATACGCTGTTGAGAAAAGAACTGAATAATAATAGATCATATGTGAAATAAAAGTTCGTTAGTGGACCTTTAACAACTTAACAATAAATAAGATGCACATTGAAGAAAAGTTAACCAGAAATAATAAGAACAACAATTACATCATAAATAATAAAACAAGTAATAAACAACTTAGTTGTATCTTAACACCAAATTTTCTTGAAAGACTTAATGAATGATGAACAACATATGTATAAAGAAGACAACTCGTACGACTGATAATGGTGGACTGACCGTCATACTTAGTAGTAATGAAATTTAAAACTGGTAAATCGGATTGGAACTGAAATCGTTAGAACTTGAATATATAAAACTGATTCCAATTCCGGGTTAAAAATTGGCTTTATTTGGATTCCTGGTAATCCGGGTTTGGGTCCATCAGGTCCGGGCAAACTGGGTCTAAGAAACCGGAACCAGTGTTAGAAACTAGAACCATTTTTAGGGACTGAAACCGGTTTTTGTGAAACGTTTAAAACATGCATATCTCATTCGTTTCAAGACGGATTAACATAAAGTTTTTTCCAACGTGTAGCTTAGAGTTTGCACATGATTTCAGACTATAAATTTATCTTTTTTAGTTTTATATTCATTGACTTACAGTCCCCTAAAGTCGATATATCAAAACTGAAAGTTTTTAGTTTTTCAGTTTTTTTTTTTTTTTTTTTTTTTTTTTTTGTATTTTGTGAAAGTTTTAAAACATGCATACCTAATTCGTTTGAAGTCGGATTTGATATGTATCACACCCCAAAACCAAGACAGGCGGAAACGTTCCGGGGTGGAGGACGTCATGTACAGTATCACAACAGTGTAAAGTAGTAAATAAGCAACAACATCATCCATTGCATTATAAGTAAAGTTTTAATACATGTGTGTTCTTTCATTTTAATAAGACACCAAAAATATACAATCAAAATAAAAGACGAGACTTGTCTGTGCTCCGTCTTCTCAAAACCTGGCCATCGTACCTGTCTACTGGTGACCTCAGAATACAAGTTATTTTGAAAGAGAGTATCAGCTTTAAAGCTGGTGAATTCATAAGTATTTAAGTGTCATTGTCTTGCTTTGAAAAACTGTTATGAATGTCATGTAAAACCTTTAAGTAAGACAGTTGATATAAGTATGAAGAACCCTAAGAAATCCCTTATTTCCTACTAGTATGAAATGTAGTCTTCTACCAAGACCCGAATGTTTTGTTATGACAATGTAGTCTTCTACCAAGACCTGAATGTTTTGTTATGACAATGTAGTCTTCTACCAAGACCCGAATGTTTTCTTATGATAATGTAGTCTTCTACCAAGACTCGAATGTTTTGTTAGTAAAATGATAGTTTTTCCTTCTTTTTGACTACTACAAACAATAATTCGTCTAACTCATCGTTTATGTGAATATATCACAAAATAAAGTAAATAGGAAAAATATAACCATGTAAGTGTTATCCCTGGATACCAGGACTAACATGCCATCGCAGTAAGCGATATGTATAACCTAATGAACATCCGAAGATTGTCCAATTGTCCTCTGTAGCAGTAGCAGGTTGGAGGAAGGGTTAGTCCCGTAGCCGACTCCTAATATAAGTGGTAACCTAATGATCATCCGAAGATTTTCATCTCATCCTATGTTGCAACAGCAGGATAGAGGAATGGTTAGTTCCGATATCAAACTATCTATTATAAGTGATAACCTTAGACATCTGTGGATGTTCATCACCCAGTGGTGCTAACAGTTGGGTTCTGGAATGGTTAGTCCCGTCTAGACATCGCGTCGAACAGGGATAGGCAGGAAAATTTACACAGAAGTTACGAATAAATCTTCCTCATAACTCTAGGTACAAGTATCCAGTTAAGTGAATACAGGATAATGTATCTATGTAACACTACTCATGTATGGTATTCATGTAAGCGTATTCAGATAAGTGTATCTATGAACACGTACTTATGTATCATGTAATCCTAGATAAATGTACTCATGTATCATGTAATCCTTGATAAATGTACTCATGTATCATGTAATGTACTGGTATATACTCATGAATGAACTGATTCTTGTGTGATTCCTTGTAATAGGAATATTGTTTTCTATCTTCTAACTATCCCTATGATAATCAATTGAAAGGCAATTGTTTGTTCAAGAAGGTAAACGTAATGGTTTTGCAAGGTATCTAAGAGTTTTGAATAATAATTAAGAGTGACTTGATGTCATGTTAATAAACATTTCAAAACTAATACTTTTGTTATCAAGGTATTTTAAGATGGAAAACCATTTCATGCATCACATTTTGTAGTATGTGAAATCTGCTGGATGAAAACACAGTTATAAAATACATATGAGTGATTTAATAACATGTTGTTTTCTACTTGTATTCCCCCCCCCCCCTTAAATCATTTAAAAACATTTAAAATATTCATTTAGGGGTATGAACTCACCTGCAGATGGTGGTTTGGATAAACTGGACGGTGTAGGATTGTTAGGTGTCAAGTGAGGACTTGTACACACACTACGATCCTAATGAACATATAATCACACATATATGCACTCAATTAGTCTTAAATTACTAATTGATAATGTTAATACATCCTAGAACATAGTAAACACTTTATATAAGTGTTATAAGCCCTAAGGATTGCATCTAAGCTATTGCGGGACAAGGCACTTGGGTTTAGGGTTCCTAAGGACTCCATACTTGAGTTTACTCTCCATATAACCTCACACATGGATTTTATGGTTGTAAACTCCAAGGCTTAGTGTCTTTGGTTGTTTTAAGGTGTTAAATAATCCCTAGAAGCATTCCAACTTTGTGGGTTAATTCTTGGAAGGGTTTAAGGCATAGAAACACTCCTTAGAGGAGTTTACGGCCCTAAGGACATTTCCTTTGGAGTTTACTACTGTAAACTCCCTTGGAATGGTGTTTTTGATGCTTTCAAGTCTCTTGCACAGTGGCATATCACGGGGGAAGGGCTAGGCTTTGTATCGGGAGTTTACTGCCCAAGAACACCTTGGGGAGTAAACTCCTAAATCTAGTTATTTAGCTATGTAATATATGTTATAAACACATAATAAGCTATCTAATACTACTAGCAAGAGATACTCACGTTTTGGGATAAAATCCGAAGATCCATGAGAGAGAAAATGGCTTTTCTCTAGTTGAAAATGTGAATAATGAATGAAATTGGTTCAAAATTCTATTTATAGTCCTGAGATTTTTGGCAGAAAATATTTTAATCCCGAAATGATCTCTAATATAATAGAGTGTTGGAATAACAGTGTTGCACAAAACCCTAGTGCAACCACTCTCTTGATATTTCCTGAAGTGTAAACTCTAAATTACTAAAACTTATACGGAAAAGTCTGAAAGTTTACTGTGACTGATATAGCTTCTATTGAAGTGTTATTGTTTATACAGAATGGAAATTCCGGGTTGTCACATCATCCACCCGTTAGAAGGAATTTCGTCCCGAAATTAGAATTTAAGAAAATAAGAAGTTACAATTAACTAAGCGAAAAGATGAGGGTATTTCAGTTTCATCTGATCCTCTCATTCCCAAGTGAATTCAGGTCCACGCTTTGCGTTCCAGCGAACCTTCACTATCGGGATACGACTCTGCTTTGTTTGCTTGAGCTCTCGGTCCATGATCTATACTGGTTCCTCCACGAAGTTGAGGCTCTCGTTGATCTCGATCTCGTCGAGTGGAATAACAAGAGTCTCGTCGGACAGACACTTTTTCAAGTTCGAGACGTGGAAGGTAGGATGTACGTTAATAAGTTCGTGCGGTAGGTTAAGTTTGTAAGCTACAGGGCCGATTCTCGCGAGGATCTCGAAAGGCCCTATGTATCTTGGATTGAGCTTCCCATGCTTTCAAAAGCGTATTAAGCCCTTCCAGGGTGAGACCTTCAGTAGGACTCGGTCGCCTACCTAGAATTCCAACGGTTTCCTTCGGTTGTCAGCATAGCTTTTCTGTCGGTCTCTAGAGGCTTTCAATCGTTCACGAATTTAAACAATCTTCTCTGTCGTTTCCCGAATGATCTCCGGACCTGTGAGAGTGCTTTCGGGAACTCGTCCCTTAGCTAACTGGGTATCACCCACCTCAGTCCAACACAGAGGGGATCTGCACTTTCGACTATAGAGGGCGTCGAATGGAGCTGCCTTTATGCTCGTGTGATAAATGTTGTTGTAGGAAAATTCAACGAGGGGGAAATGGGTATCCCAAGCTTTTCCAAAGTCAATCACACAGGCACGAAACATAGCTTCTAAGGTTTGGATAGTTCTCTCACTTTGCCCATCGGTCTGTGGATGGTAGGCTGTACTCATGTCCAGCCTAGTTCCTAGGGAACTTTGTAATGACTGCCAGAACCTCGAAGTAAATCTACTATCTCTGTCCGAGATGATAGATAAAGGAACACCGTGCAGCCTTACAATCTCCCTAATGTAAGTTTTGGTAAGTTTCTCCATCTTGTCTGTTTCTTTGATCGGCAGGAAGTGTGCAGACTTGGTCAGTCTATCGACGATGACCCATATGGAATCGAGTCCACA